ACACGTGAACTCCGGTTGATGTAACTATAAACGAATAATAACAAAAACTCCGACCAAAGTGGAGATTTGAGAAATCTCCTCTTTCGGGTTTGCGTGTGGACTTTCGGAACCGGAGATATGCGCATTATGTCTGCGACAGATGGTGCAGCGCGGCGCTGACGTCACATGTGCGACAATTGTTTTTGTTTGCCCATTCATTCGGAGGGAAAATGACTGCGTTTAGGGAAGTACTAATTGTAACGCTGGTTCAGGCAATTTTTGCTTGCTTGTTTTTACAAGCACAACTGCTCCAACAGATGGAATTACAAAGGAGAAAAAGCGTTTGGCGTTCAGCTCTTTTACAGCAACTATCCCTACCGATACGGAGGCACAATACCGCCATTCAGCGTCGCCGTCGCCGGTTTTGGATCAGACCTGGACGCACTGCTGGCTGGTGGGAAAACTTTGAGAAGGAAATTGTTCTCCCACAGGAATGGCGTGAGAACTTCAGAATGTCACGGTCGTCATTACTGTCGCTCTCGGAGTTACTCCTTCCTTACATTCAAGGGAAGAGTACTGTAATGCGATCTCCAGTCTGTGTGGTCAAAAAAGTTGCATGCACGCTATATTATTTGGCTGACGAGGGAAGACTGCGTAAAACGGCCAATGCATTTGGCTTATCAAGACAAGTAGTCTCAAACATAATTAGAGAGGTGTGTAAGGCTATAACTGTGTACTTGGGACCATCTTACATAAAAATGCCAACAACAGAGACTGCTGTGCGTGCACTTGTTGAGGGATTTGAGCAGGCTTATGGTCTCCCTCAGTGCCTTGGAGCTGTGGATGGGACTCATGTGGAGATAAAGCAGCCATCAGCTAATTCTACAGAGTACCTAAATAGGAAGGGGAGGTTTTCTCTTAACATACAAGCCACCTGTGATTACAAGTACAGCTTTATTGATGTAGTTGTGAAATGGCCAGGGAGTGTGCATGATGCCAGAGTTTTTGCTAACTCCACAATAAACACAAATCTGAAAAACATGAAGATTCCCCCCTGTCCAAGACAAATTGTGGAGAACGAAGACGCTATACCCATTTACATACTGGGTGACCCTGCATACCCACTTCTACCTTACCTGATGAAAGAATATGCTAACGGAGGAAGCAATGTTCAGGAGCAGTACTTTGGACTTTCGTTGTGCCGAGCTAGAATGGTGATTGAATGTGCATTTGGAAGACTAAAAGCCCGATTTGGAGCCCTGAGGAGAGCCATGGACATCAATATGAATGATCTTCCATTTGTTATATATGCATGTTTTGTGTTGCACAATTTTTGTGAGGCATCAAAAGACACTGTGGATGAAAACAGAATAACTGAAGCTATTCAACATGACAGGAACAATCAACCGGACACACAGCCAGTGGTCAGAGGAGACAGCTTGGCAGCAGAAGGAAAGCGGGTCAGGAGAGTCCTCACTCAGTGTCTGGATCCATAAACACAAAAACCTGTGAACTATTTAGCAGACTGCGTTGTTTTTTCATAAAAAAACGTTATAGTTAGCACCATGTATGTTAGAGAATTTTTAAATTGTTTTGTGCAATGTTATTGCATTTCATTCTATTAATGCATGAAAAGCTACCACCCAGGATTTAGATACATTATATAATAGTTTGTAGCTCATTAGACAGACTTTTAAGTTAAATGATTTTACTTTTCTCTCTTAAAATTGGACCTGTAGTGTATTAAATAGTGCTGCCAATACTTTCTGATGAACATGACTGTATTTGTAACTGATAAATGTCATATTCACAAAAATTCACATAAAGAAACTTGCTTTTAAAATGTTTGTCAATTTATTCAAACGAACACACTTAACATGTTCTTATTTTGTGTTTCATTTATGAACAGATCAGATTATAACAGATCTACAACAGATAAAGCTTTTTAAACATGGGAGAAAAGCAGCACAGTTACTGTACACTTTTAAATCAGTGATGCCCAAGTCCATAACTTGGGAGCTACCACAGGTACATTTCAGCTGCATTTTCTTCAACAAACCAGTATGAAATAGCTGATTTCAATCATCAGTATGTATTTGATAGTGGTGTTTTGGAGAAATAAATACATCTAAGTAGCAGTAGCTCCCAAGGACTGGACTAGATCACCACTCTTATAAAGATTCACGTAACAAAAATGTAAATAGTTAAAGTATTGTGCAATTGCTACATTTTAAGCTTTTCACAGTATGTATAAAAAGATAGCAAACAGAAAAAAAAAACACTGTCAGAGTAAATAACACTGTGATTAACAACCTGACATGTGTGCAACCTTGTGCAAAAGTGGAACTTGTATATACTTAACTGTACCAGACTTGTTTCGATGTATAAAACAGTACTCTACTGGTCACTAAAAAGGGCCTGACTGAATGAAAATTGGTCAGTGGCTTCAGCAGGTGTGTGGAACACAGCTTCAGTGTTCATAGTGTTTCCTGGTCTTGTGTTTTGACGTGTTCTGTCAGAAGTGGAGTTGTTTGGGTATGGGTAATTTGCTGAGTTTTGGTGGACAGAATGGTGGGCCATTGTGTGCGAATACATCGGACCTCTTGGCTCATATGGCATGTAGTGTGGTGGTTGTGCAGGTGCATGAATGACCTGTTTCAGAAGAGAAAACCCATCAACAATCGATGTGGTAAGTCTTTCCAGTGTATTGGACATTTTTGAATAGTTTTCGGATGCTTTTTGTTCTGATGTCTCAATGATTTCCACCAGTCTCTTTTTCACACGCTGGTCTTCCTCAAGAGCATTCAGCCACTGGGTCTCAGCAGGCAGCTTTCTCCTCAGACGGTCGTGTCTGTGTCCTTTTAGTTTTGCCTTCAAAAGAGAAATGAAAATCATCACAATTAAACATAAAAAAGTAAACCTGGATCATGTTGATGTTGTACTTTTCACATCACTTCTACATAACAATATGTAATAACAGCGTATCCAATGTTTGCTATATGTCTTAAAGTGTATTTTGTACCCACCACCCCATCAAACTAATGAATATGTAGGCCTAACATAATATGAGATGAGTAAGAGCATGATGGTGTCATTTCTTTTTTGCAATAATAATAAAAATAAATCAGCAACCC